GAACAGAACAGAACCGAACACGACGCAAGCACTGCTTTGCTCCCTTTATTGCTGTTTGGTGTTTAGTATATCAATCAAGAAAAAGGATTGAGGTTAAAGAGAAGATAATACCCAGAACACCCTTGCGTTTCGTCGAATCTACGAGTAACGCCACACGGAGCAAACGCGATTTTTCTATTTCCTTTTTTTTTTTCTTTTGAGTCTTCTACACACGTATTCTGTCATCGCAGCAGCCACGCTGATTTTATAGTGCAGGTTTGGACTCCATAGACGAATTCTAATTAAATATATCTTTACCATAATTAAAATATAAATCTTTTTAACATAATATTTTATTTTTGTATAATTCTGTTAAGCTAATTTGTTAATTAGTATATTTAACATATTGATTAAAATTACTTTTTCTTTTATTTTTCTTAAATTAGGTACATTTACTTTATGGTTTTTAATTTTGATTTTATTGTTATGCAATATTTTTTTTATATATGATGAGTTATTTTATTAAGAATGATTAGAGAATATTTAAGATTATTGAAATGTATTTTAGTAACAAAATTTATGGTTTGAAATTAAATTTTTTTAATCACACTTAAAAGAAAATTCATTTTTGGACAAATTTACATAGTTAAAAAGAGAAATATCTGACAAAATTTGTTTATTATATGCATAGAAAAACATTTATATATATATATATATATATATATATATATATATATAACTATTAGTTGAATAGTAGAGGAAAATCTTGTATCCATAATAAAAATATGGATTAGTCTATTTTTTGGTCTTTTTGTATACTTAATTAGGTTGAGTTAGGCTGGTCGTTGTGCATTTTTTTGAGTTAGACTGGTTGTCCTACATAAGAAATGTATGTTAATTTCTTTAGCCCACTTCACATAACATTTGGTGCAAATTTATAGTTGGTATTTGGTTCACATAAAATTTTTGATAACTTTTTTTTATTTAATTAAATGAGTAAAAATAATAAACTATATAGGTCTATTTCTTAAAATAAGTAATATTCATAATTTTTAGTTTATAACTTTTAAGTATAAGTCTATTGAAGATAGCAATAAAACAAGAGAATAAATGTGAATGATATTGTTTTTGGATAGACTAGAAGTGAACGAGTGGATGTACAAAAAAAAAGCGTATTCCCTTATTTGTATATGATGTTTTCCATTTAGATTATGAGAACTAAGCATGTAATATGCCTATGATATTTTTTTTATGAATATATAGTTTAAAAATTAATTATTAAAAAACATATTTTCTAAAATTGTTTTAAAGAATAATATAAATCAATAATGAGAGGTAAAATGCTATCTCTTTACCCACTAATTAAGGTTTTTTTTTTATATATATTTTTTAGACTAAATCTTTACTTTGAGTCCTTTGAAAGAATTAAATGCAACCATACTTGTTGATAACATGGATAAATCCATGATGGCAATGATAAATAGGAAATGAGAGAAGAGAAAATGAAAGTCATGTATATTTTTTTCTTTTAAGGGAAAACGAGTCTATTAATGATGTTTGATCCTTAATATGAAAGTCGTAAAAATTGTCACTGTTGGAAGGAAAAAAAACAATATAAATCATGAAAATGTACCTAATGGAAAAATGTGACTAGTGATAAGAAAAAATAATAAATATTTACTTTTATAATGATTAATTTATTTGGAAAATCCTTACAACTTTATTTTCCTTTTTATTATGGTTCAGGCATTCTAATTAGGGATAGTTATTGATATTAGAGAAAAGAATATTAACATATTTAATTTTCTTATGTAAATAGCCCTTACCAAAATAAGAAAGAGGCCATTATAAATATAAACACAGTGCATATACATTGATTTACATATCACAAAACTATATAATCTATTATCTACGTAAAAAAAAAGTACTAATTCCTATATTATCTATACGAAGTAATTTTTCCCCCCTACGTTTATCTTTCAATTTTATGCTTTAAATAATATTTATTTTATTTTTTTTTAAATTTAACTATTTTTAAGTAAAAATTACTTACTAAATTAAAAAAATTAATTTTATAATTATAAAAATAAAAATAATGACATTTTTATTATTTTTTATTATTATAAAGAAAAAATAAACACAATGTGTTTTCACCAATATATATTTTTATCAATTGTGATAATACTTTATTAGCAGAAGGTCGTTAAAACTTCTTCTCCATCGATAGAATTTTATTCAAAACTGTCAAAGCGAGAAAAAAACCATTAAATATAATAAGATATTCATAAAATTTTATGATTTTTAATAAATTTCGAACACTAACGAAAACATATTTCTGAAAAACTAATTTCTTGTTAACAATTATTTTATTTAAAAAACTGAACCTTATTTTAGACAGAGGTTGGTTTATTAACTTTTTCAAACTTTGATTTATTGAAATAAAAATATTATGTTCATCTTTTAAAAATTGTTTTTTAAATGTAGGTTACTTATATTTTATTTAAAATTTAATTAATTTAAATATTTTTGCAATACAATAAATACTCACTAGTAAAATAAAATAATAAAAAAAATTAAAAAGTTTGATTCTCATTCATGCACTAACTCCTTCGTAGTGAAAGTCAACGTTATCAATTAAGTGGTCAAATGTTCCATGTAAAAATTTCACAAATATTTTAAAAAAATTATAAAACTCAATAACAAAGATATAAAATTTCTTACAATGAAACTCACACATCATTAATATATTTTTATCTAAAAAGATAACATCCGACCATGCTCAACAAAATATAAAACATTAACCTTATCAAATGTATCACTTCATCCATGCAACAACTTAAACTCCATATTTTTTTCATGTTTTTAGACAAAACTTTATAAACTACATTTGAGTGTGTTTGTTTTGTCAAGAATTTTTAAAGTGTCGAAATTAGAAGACAAATGTTTCGTGAGAGATAACTTTATTAAATGGTGTTTGATACTTGGTTTTTGAACATCAAGACTAGAGGTGAATGTCTCTAGACTAAACTTTATGAACTATGAATTGTTTGTGAGAGTTTTGAAATGTCAAAGTTAGAAGATAGATGTATTTTGAATAGAAAACTTTATTGAATGATGTTTAATATCATGCTCTTGAGTATCATTGTTAAATGATAAATGTATGTAAATTAAGAATTTTATGAGTTAAAACATATAGAATTTGTTTTTTTAAGTATAAACAAATATAAAAATTATTTGATAAATGAACTCATTGTATATTTTTTTTAACTTTTTTATACATTACTTCTATTTTGCATTATACGTTACGTTATAAGCTCTTGAATAACTAAATGTATATTTTTTTCTATTATTTTGCAAATACAAGTGAAAAGCTATGGAATAACTATATATATATATATATATATATCCCATAAGGACAAGAATAATTCCTCTCAACATTTTTCATATTAATTTTTAGTGTTTAAATGCACTTCTAAATAAGAGAAGAATAAGAAAAAGCAAAATATATAATTACAAAAGTGATAATTGTTTTATCTATGTTTTAAGCTTTGTATTCTAATGAATGACATTAAAATAATTGTAAACTTGTTAACAATCAATTATTTTCTACTTCTAGTCTTTTTAAGAAGAAAAATGTGTTTTCAGCTTATTTACTTTCAATCAAACGTGTCGAATTTTTAGTCTTTTTAACTTAAAAATTGAGTTAAAAAAAGAAAGATCAAATTCCCATGTTTCTAAAGTTCTGAAAATTAAATTAGTTAATATAAAACTATAAAAGTCCATGTTTGACCAGAAAAGGTAAAAAAAGTATTTTTGTTTCCAAAAAACTAACACTTTTATTTTTTTGTCTTTTTTGTTTAGGGCTTTTAGGTAGTTTGATGAGAAGAGGATGGATAGCAACGTAATTTAAAAATCGAAGGGAAGTGTTGATTATGTTTTTGAATGTAGAAGATAACGACACGTAGAGAAGAGAAAAGATGTTCAATAGGAGTGAAAGGAGCGTCATATAAACCCAACCCAACTGTTCATCAAATCAAATCAAACCAAAGCAAACCAATCATCTAACCATCACGTCACTACAAAAACTTGTTTTCTTCACTACAAAAATTTTCTAGACCTTCTGTTCGTTGTAATATATCATTTCAATTTTAATTTAAGTCGCGCTAATTTAATACAATCTCAGTATAATAAAATTATATTAAACTGGCATGTCTTTTAAAATTACATTCTTTTTTATAATTTTGAAGATAAAATTACACCATTTTAATATTTTTACCTCGTGAGATACCTTTGTTTACTACTAAAAAAATCCTATCATTTATTAAAACTTAAATATATATATATATGATAAAATAACTTTTATGGTTCGGATAGATAAGGCGCAGTTTGTTAGAAAATCTTTTCAAGGAACTTGACAAAAACTGTGCTGTCATCAAAATCTGATTATAATAGTAGACCACGAGCAACGGGAACATGCCTTTGAAGACAACAACAGCAACAAACACACTTTCCAAAGGTTAGATGGACATGGCTGACTGAAAGAATTGCTTAAATTATGAAATGTTTTTTTAATAACTTTTCCATTGAACCAGATACCTTAAAACTTTTTAACTGTTTCTTATCGGTAAAAACCATTTTTTTAATAACTTCAGCTAAACATTTTCTTTGTTGACTTTAGTATTGAACTCTTCAATCTATATGACCTGTGATATCTACAATTTTAAAATAAATAACTTATTTCAGTAAACACACATTCTAGATATTCTAAGTCCAAAATTTGTCCAGTGAGGAAAACCCTTTTATTGTTTCTTTTCTGCTAGTTTGTCTAATCATGTTGGGTCTAATTTATCCTTTGATGAAATTAATGAAACTTCACAAATAGTGTGTCTGGAAAATCATCAAAATCGTTTGTAAGCATGTACCACATCACATTTAAAAGGAAAGCTACTGGGAAACCACTTATTTTCCACATATTTAACAGACGTAGAAAGAGTTAAGCACCAAATTAAACATGTATTTAGTAGTTCCATGTGGGTAAGATAATACTGATAGTTTCAATCTCGGATCATCTGAGAACGTATCATATGGGCGAGATAATACTAACAATTCCACAGAAAATTCGAACATACATTCTAAGGAGAGACAACTGAATCTAGCAGTGGCTTTGGAAGTTTGGGTGGAATCATGGCGAGTTTATATATGCAATTGAAAGGAAAATAAACTTGTAGGACTTCAATCCCTACCAACAATTCTAATCATAAAAAATAATAACCGTATTCTATCGCCAATGGACATTGTAGTTCTGGTAGTTGCAAAGGGGAATATACACTACAGACCAGAATTTGATGGTACTCACAGGAATATTGGACAATCAATGCTTGAGCATATTCGGTTAAACTTCTTTCTGATTGAAATTTAGTAACAGGTTAGAGTGTTTTGAAGATTTAAAATACTTTTGTTTCAATTACATTAAATGTTTCACACATGTCATCCTAAGATTATATTTTTTTGGTGTGTGACCGGTGATTGAGTGTGCTTTTGAGTTTTACTAAAATTGTTCGGGTCCGTATAGGGCATGGGCCACGTCATCTCTCAAGAGCTCCTCAAAGTTATTTGTCTCAGGTGTGAGCTGAATCTTACATTGACATGCCGTGTATATATGACAATAATACGTGTTTCTTCTGCTTCATTTTCCTACCCAGTGAAGACAGTAGTTTTGCAGAGGCAAATGTATAAATACAACAGTTAGAGTTAACATAAAATAAATTACGCTCATTCATTCTTGTTTATGATTTAAATTTTGCTTGACTACATTGAATGCATACCTTGTTTGCATTTTAGAACAGCGTTGCAGAAGCTGTCCTAGACTGTATAGAAAAATGAAAACGCTTTACTGTAGATTGCGGATGCCCATGCTTCCGACTTTCTTTAAAATGCAAGTAATGGCATAGTTATTTTGGGGAAACACTTCTTTATCGAAATCAGAAACTTCAAGACTCACTTAAAGCATAAACATAACAAACCCTGAGCTCAGTTGCAGCTCGACCGAATTCATACATAGTTTATTAGTTCCTTGTAAGGGATTTGACTCTTCTATGAATCTAGAGAATAGAATGTTAACTAGGAAATCAGAGGTGTGCACATCATCCCTTTAGAGAAGCCAAATTCCAAGAGAAACTATTACGTTAGGGGTTGACCAACCTCCTACACGACTTGAATTGAAACACTCAAAAAACATATTAATTAAGTTCAGGGTACATACCATTGAAGGACTATATACTTTCAATAGTATCTCCAATAACTTCTTCGTCTTTTATCAGAAAATTATTTTGGACGCCCAAAATACATACTGGAGTCACACTAAGCTAAACTTGCAAGTTTAATAAATAAAATTAAATTCTATTTCAAACTTGTTGTTCATATGATCTAATAGAGTAGCAGTATTCTAGATAAAAAAAAAATATAGTAGTAGTATAATTGCCTGTAGTACTATAACCTGCGTATAGTTCAGATTCCATCACACATATTTTGTATCATTAAACAATACACATTCCCGCAAGTTTAGAAAAATGTATTAGGCACTAAATATGGAACCAGATAATCATTTTATTTCTCCCAAAATGCTCGTGCTGTCCTAGTGGTGAAGGGAATTATAAAGATAGGTGCTGGTAATTGTAAAGAGGCCGTGCAAGAAAGAACATATACAGGAAAGAAAAACTACTCTTCGATAGTAATTACTGAGTAAAAAAACACTAGATTTTATTTGTTCCTGAGAAATCAGAATGCAGAGGTATACATCACACAGGAACGGCTGAAAAAATTGATTATAAGATCCCAATAAATTATCTGAATTAAAAGCATGCTCTCTACAAGAGACCATAAATTAAAATCCCAACAATATAAACAAGTGTGGAAGCGACACTAAGATGCTGCGTATGAATCTAATCCATTTTGCACTAAGTGAAATGATAAATTCTGCGATCATTATCAAACAAGACCAGTAAAATGAAGACTAAGGACATTCTACAGCGGTTAAGTTTTTTTGTAGGAGGTAAATTAGGGTTCACAAATGACGGACCTTGACCTTCAGTGAGCCTTTCTCCTTTGCGTCGGTTTCTGGGTGGCTAATTTATAAATCCAATACACCTAGAGTAAATCAAAACAAAGAGTGATTAGAGATAGAAGTGGTGACATTTATTTGAAAATAAGAGTGATGAATGGAGAGAAAAATGACCATAGCGAGGACATGCACTGCTATCAGAAGAACCAATAATACAGGTAGTGCGTCCTGGATCCATGGTTGCGTGGGTTTGTGATGTCCGTACGCCATTCCACTCTGAAATTTCAAAACGCGAGGAAGCAATACAGTGAAGGTTTTGTTTCACTTCAAACCAGGGTTACAACAAATACTATTTTCCCAACTACAGAGATGAACTGATGCATTATAATAATAATAATTACCATAATTATTTGTTATTAGTATTATTAATTAAAAAACAAAAATTGGGATTTCAATATTCATCTATATATATCATTCATTTATGCTTGTCAACTATACATAAGGTGATTAAGTTTTAAATAAATCATAAATTTTAGTTTATTTAATTAATTTTTTTTAATTTTTTGTTTTGTTGAGTACTTAAAAATTATTAGGTATCCTTTCCTCCATCATTTTGTTTATTTATTCTTAAAATATTAAAAAAAATTAATAGAGACTATTTCAAATTAAAAAAGTAAAATGGAAAATGCTGAGTTCCATCATACATAAAAAGAATTATATATTTAACAACTCAAATACCATAGTTTAATTTAATAGATAATATTAGTTGATAAAATAGACAAGTTTACTAATAACTTTAATGACAATTAAGCCTAGCAATTAATTCCAAACTACTGAAAAAACATAATTTTCAATAAACAATAAAATGTATACCAGTAAAAAGAATGTTAAAAATTATGTGAAAAGAAAGACTTCTCTTGGGAACGTTCAAATTTTTTTATGTTATTATTAACTGATCAGAAAATATTTTAAGCATGATTTTTAAAAGGGTAATCATAAAAATTAATAAATGTAGTGGTAATAACAATAGTAATTTATAATTACATAATAATATTAAAAAAATTTATGATGTTAGTGCATACAGAACAGGAAATTGTGCACGGAGGGGATCCATTAGGGCCATGAAAACATAAACTTTCCACGGTGCCAAAGGTGGTAGAGGTTTAATCAAATCCAATCAAAGAAGAGGGCGGTTAGTTCTGCAAAATTGGTGCCAACTGTCTAGTTCGGTGCTTACCTTACACCACACGTGGCAGTTTTCCTCAGCTTTCAGATTTGCGAGAAAGTCACACACACTCACCGCTGCACCTCATCGAATCAAACCAATGACTAATTGGTCGCACCTATGCATTTTCTCAAACACTTGGTGTTCAGCGTTTTTCCATGTTTTCCATTGAACTTGTTTTCCCTACATACCAATGACGAGGAATGCCTTCGCTGCTCTCTACCGACACCGCGCACCTATTCTTAAATCTGCTCGTACATTTCCTCTGACTACTACTCTCTGCAAATTATCCGATTTCTATTCGCTGTTTTATATTCAATTATTTTTAGAATTTAGTGGCCTTAGGTTATTAGTGCTATTATTGTACCGAGAGTTCTTTTTCTTGCAGATTTATATCACGACAGTTTCACTGAAATTATCTTGCGCAAATGCTTGCCGTTGGATTGCCCTTCCTCGTCATGCTTACTGCACCGAAAGTCGTGAGTGTGTTTTTGTTTTCCGTGCTCAACCGATTACCTAAAGTCGAGTTTTTGTTTATTTCATGTTTTGTGACATTCAAATTTTTGGTTCTTTGTCTGCAGATATTCAACTGGTTTCACCAGTGTGCATGGCGAAACGCCCTCTGCTGAGTATGCGAGGATGAGGAGGGAATCGCTTGAAAGTAAATTTGGGCATGCTCTTGGAACTTATAGTTCGAAGAGTTTCAATGCTATCTACCGGTTTGGCCCCTTTTTGGCTTTGTACAGGGCAGCAATTATTTCATTTCATGTGTTAAGGCTAGCCATGTGGCAATTATTCGTTCAAGACATGAAAAAACGTGCTGTTAAGGTAAACATGATATTTTCTCAATGTTTTCTCATATTGTTTTGCGGATACACTAGGGAATGAGCAGGCGTTACTTTGGGTTGTGGTAAGTAACAAGTTTGGTGATATTGGAGAGGATTAAAACCAGTTAACTGGTTGAACAAAAATTCAATGAAGCTTCTTTATTATAAATCTTTTAGAAGTTGGGCGAACAAAAAGACAGTAAATAGAGAATGTGGAGAATGTTTCTTCAACTAACACTTCTTCCAGCTGTGGAGAATGTGATTTCATTATTTTTAATGCTTATGGAGAACTTGTTTAAATGAACATTGATACACATTTTTTCTTTTGCAGTTTCGTGAAACTCTAATACGCTTGGGTCCTTTCTATATCAAGGCAAGTTTTTCTCACAGGTTATTTTGTTTGGTTTCTGCTTTCATTTTTCATTCTTGCGTTACTCTTTCTATACTATACATGACCTATGCTGAGGTTAATTTAAGATATAGTATCAATTTCTCTCTCTCACTCAAACTTCTGCTCTTACTCTAAAATAAACTTGTATTCGGTGTCTGGTATGAATAAATTGACCGTTTCAAGGGTTTATGATCCTGGATCAGAATCTCTGTTTTTCCCATTATTTGTTTTAATTTGAGATATTTAGTTTTCTTTATCCAATTTTGCCTTTACCACAGAAATGCAATAGTCACGTGTCCAATTCTTATGATTTTACTCTAGATAGCTAGTATCTTACGTTATTATATTTTTTCTTTTACGTTGTAAAAACATTTGAATATATATAAGCTTTTCTTTTTGTTTTCCTTCTTTCCCGCATTGTCATATGACATATATATATTGAATGGAGCAAGAATTAATATGTAACATGTATTAAATGTATCACATGTGCAGTTCTTATGTTTGACAATATCCATTTATGATTCCAGCTTGGGCAGGCATTGAGCACTCGGCCTGACATATTACCAACAATATATTGCCAAGAACTTGCCAAGTTACAGGTACAATGACATCTTCCATTGTACTTCAAGCATGTAATCAAATGCTGCAGGTGCATCTATTGACTATAGCTAAGCTCTTGTCTTTTGTAACTTGTATTTTTATAAAGCCTTATAACTTTGTTATTGATACTACAGGATCAAATACCTCCGTTTCCAACTGACGTTGCAATCAAATCTATTGAGAGTCAGTTTGGTGTTCCTATTGATGAAATTTTTAATGACATCACCCCGTCACCTATTGCAGCAGCATCCTTGGGGCAAGTATATAAAGGTTAGTTAACAACAAAAGTTAGCTTAGAATTTATTCTGATTTTGAATATTTCATATTTGCTCATGTTCTGTTCTTAAAATTGATATTTTAGAATAATATTTATATGTCTGAGGAAGATTGAAGTGTTTACTTTTGTCACTTCAAGTGTTGCAGCTCACCTGCATTCTGGAGAGCTGGTTGCCGTAAAGGTACAGAGGCCCGGTATGTCTCTTTCATTGACTCTTGATGCTTTGCTATTCCATATGATAGGGGGCCAATTAAAACGGTTTGCCAAGGCCCGGAGAGATCTTTTTGTGGCAGTAAATGAAATGGTGAGTTCCTTTATAACAGAGCACAAAGATCTCATTTGCTTTGTATGACGTATTCTTTAACCTGGCATTTAAGAAATAATATTTTCCTTCTGTGTATGATGACCACTATAGCAGCTGACTGTTATGGAGTGTTATTTTTAGTTTACATTGCAATTTCTTTATGTGTTAGTCATTGTAGATTAATGCAACAGGTCAGGCACATGTTTGATGAAATTGATTATGTCCTGGAGGGAAAAAATGCTGAGCGCTTTGCTACTCTCTACTGTTGGTCTTCTGGTAAGTTAAATACTATTTTCTTTGATATAGTCTTGCCATGTCCCTAAATCTACGATGTTTTTGAATCTCAAATTCGAATTTTATATAATGCTAAATACTTTAATGTGTGATGTTGTTAAAGGAGAGAAAATGAGAGACATATGTTACTATGTATAACGGCTAGGATAATTACACATAAGAATCTGGTGCTACTCTACTGCTCCTCAAATGAGAGGGCAGTGTGCAATATATATTAGGTTATGAACATTTCTGCTATTAGCTTGATTAAATAATTTTTAGCATTCAGTTTAGATTGGTAGTTGTTCTTAGAATCAGTTTTGGACTCAACTCAATCTCAAAAAAAGGGGCTTATGAGGTGAGAATAGTCTCCCATTTATGTACTCTTTGTAGGCTCTTTTTTAATATGATTAGTGACTCTTCCAAATGAAATTAGAATAGAATTTGATATCATCATAAAATTTGGGTTTGTATACCCATCTCAACTTAACAAAATCAGCTTCTATTCGCCACACAAGCTGATTTTGTAGAGTCGAATTAGATTAATACAAATATAACATTGCACCAGAATCTCCCAAATCGATTTGAAAGGGTTGTCTGTCATATTATCCAAATTGTAAAAAACCTGAGTCCCATATTGACTGAAGTAGAGACAGGGCCTAAAAAGAGTACACAAGTAATATTGTAAAAAACTTGAGTCCCATATTGACAGAAGTAGAGACAGAGCCTAAAAAGAGTATACAAGTGGGGGACAACCTTCACTTACCAAGCAAGTGTCGTGGGGTTGAAGTAGGTTCATAGCTAAATTATAAGCTTATTTTCAAGAGGAGGTAATGAGCAGAGCAGCAAATTTGCAGATGGGATTAAACACAAGAGAACAAATGCTGTCAAAGCTCCAAAAATATATTGGGACTACACATGCTCCACTGTGCTGACTATGGAGTGGATAGATGGAATTAAGCTTACAGATGAAACAGGCTTGACTGAAGCTTCTTTGAACAGAAGGAAGCTCATTGACCAGGTATGAAGTACACAAGTTTTATTAGTCACATGTATATGATGTATTTCTTATACCATTGTGTCTGTCTATTTGCATTTCTTTTTGCTTACTAGGCTTGCGGGTTTTTGTATTAGTAATAAATGCTTGGTTTTAATATCTTTTGGCTTCATATTAAGTGCATGATTACTCAAGATGGCAAGCACTGTCAATTGATACCCCCTTGCCTCGTCTTTCTGTCTTTGTAGGGATTATACTGCTCTTTGAGGCAAATGCTTGAGGTTGGTTTTTTCCATGCCGATCCTCATCCAGGAAATCTTGTTGCGATAAATGATGGATCAATTGCATATTTCGACTTTGGAATGATGGGGGATATTCCTAGGCATTATCGAATTGGACTTATTCAAATGGTGAGAAATATCTAAGTATTAATCATTGTAATGGATGTAACTTATTGATTAGTTATAGTCACCACTACATTTTTGTGACATCTTTATTCCAAAAATATGTTTGAGAAGTTCAAATTAACCTAAATATGTTAAACTG